AATAGACTACAGTATGTGGAGAAGAGGAATGCCAAATGATGCACACTAGCAGTCAAAGGTTTGGAGACATCTGAGTTAACTTGAGTTTCTCGTGATCCTAAAAACCTTTTGATCTAAAGATGTATGCTTAATTACTTGAAATGAACTGTAGAAATATAAAAAGTGCTTTGACTTTATGTACAAAATGACTTCTTATTCAGTAAATTCATTGTTTGTAGTATCCACAAGCCCTAGAGGGAACTCCATCCTGTTCCTCTGTCTCTCTCTAGGACTCCATTTCCATTTCTCCATTTTTTCAACTATTGTATTGATTACCATTCCACCTGTTTATCATCTGGGCTGTTTCTCTGTTTACTGTTGCATCTGTTTGCCATTGTCTGAACTATTTGAGGACTGTTTACACCTGTCGTCCGGCCCGTGTACCTCGCTTAAATGATCTAAGATGATTGGGCATATCCTGGATCTGTTCATCTTGATAACTGATCTCAGGCAAATTTGGTTCTTCAAACAAGTTCAGAAATCAGATTAAAATGCCTGGATAAACTGATCTGAGATCGCAGCATGTGTTGTGAAGGATGGATCTAGCCTCGAAATCATGAACATCAGTGTAACGATTGGCTAACGGCACAGCAACGTAATGATATCATCTGATTAATATTCAATTATCCATGTAAGCAAAATTAAATTAGCAGTAAACGGTTTGTTAAATATGACACGCAAAACCTTCCCACGTTAGTTGTGGGCTGCAAGCTGTACACTCTCATGTATTTCATCATGTATTTCAATGCATATCTATGTATTCAGTACTACATTTAGAAAAGATTTTCTTTATTATATTAGCCTAGACAAGATGCCTAGAACATGCAAACTCCTCACAGAAATGCCAACTGAGCGGAGGTTCGAACCAGCGACCTTCTTGCTGTAAGGCGGCAGCACTACCTACTGCACCACTGCTTCGCCCGTATCAATCACCGACATATTAGTGATAAAACAGATAACACATAAATTATAATTCCTTTTTGCATACATTTTTAAAATGTATTCTTTTAAGATCAGCATTCAGTACATACTTTCGGTATTATCTTTGCTTAAACTGACCCAATCTAATCTTGTTTATATGATATGAACATGCACCTATGCAGGCTTGAGCAACAGAACAGTTACTATGACAACAAGTCTCAGATAAGTTTTGAAGAACGAAACGATCCTTGATTGTGTAAAATCGTCAACATCCAAATCCAGCTAATTGAGTAATGATTGTACGAAGAATGAACCCCTAGTCACAGTAAGCATTTTTTTTCTGATCGAATAGCTACCTGATTCTGAAATTGCTCCATTTATTTTTGATCATATTAATGATTAAACAAACATTCCAAACGGTGGCATTGTGTTTTGCATTATCAATGTAAGAGTACATCTGGCAATGTCATCTAACCTTTATAACACTCTCACATTTATTTATTTATTTATTTTGGGAAAAGTAACATTTATATATGTGGCTTCTACTTTTTTTTTCAATATTTTTAAAGTTGAATTAAGTTAAAGCAGAAATTCTTATTGTGGGCAAAAAACCTGAGCGAGAGAGGATTGAAGCAATATTGTGTTCTTTAGGTTTACAATCCAAAAAAGAATTAAAGAACCTTGGTTTTATTTTCGATTGTGATCCTAATTGTCATATTAATCAAGTTACATGTTTTTATCATTTGAGAAATATTACTTTCCTACCTTTTGATGATGATAAGAAATAATTCATGCTTTTATTTTCTCTCGGCTTGATTATTGCAATGCTATTTATACCAGTTCACCTAAGGGTTCTATAAGGAAGCTGCAACTGATACAAAATGCAGCAGCCAGACTTTTAATGAAATTGAAGAAATGAGAACACATCACACCTTCTTATATTTCTGACTGCTTATCAAAATATAATCCAAACCGTTTGCTGACTTTATATTTGCTGTTTATTATGCTTTATTTGTCTATATTTTTATGTGCTTTGTTTCAATGCTTGTTTGTTGTTTGTGTAGCACTTTGAGTTGCATGTATGTAGAAAAAGCTATACAAATTAAATTTATTATTATTATTATTATTATTACAACCAGATGCATTTAGATCTGCCCAGTTTAGTCTAAAATGCATCCTAGACCACCTGAATTCATTTGAATGAATCAGATCAGAAATGACCAGGTGTAAACAGCTCCTTTAAGATTCACTTTCATACTTACACTGTGTTAAGTCTCATTTGTGCTCCGCCTGACAATTTTAAAGCGGTTTCCTAGCATCTTGGATAGTTCCTTGGTTTCTGTGATTGTTTGCTGCATTAGCTGACCTTTTGCCTTTTTTATGGATTACCCTTTTTGCTCAGCCTTGGAAATTCAACCCTATAGTACATGTTTTGACTTTGCATTCTCTTAATAAAGCTGCATTTGAATTCCTACCTTTGTTGTAATGCCATTTACAATACAATTAACTTATGTTTTACAGTTCTCCTACAATAGATTTCTGTTTCTATAAATCCAAGGTAAGACTTGATCCTAATATACATTCAAAATAACCTTAAATTATTCAATATTTATCATGTGTCTTAAAAAATAATAATCTATAATAATAATAATAATAATAATAATATTTTTCCTAAGATATAGTAAATATAAACATATTTTTTGAATTTCGTGTTTTTAAACTCTTTTCTTTATACAGTAAGTTTAGCCTTGTGATTTATTTTAAAATTAACCCTCTTTAAAATAGAAAAATAAATGCTTTGTAGCATTATGAATGTTTTATTTGAGTACATTTTTTCCAGATGAACACACATTAACACAAAAGAAGATATTTGTAAAGAAGGCTGAGTTCCATAATGTTTCCCTACTGTGGAAGTCAATGGCTACTGGCTTCTTCAAAAATTTCTTCTACTGTGTTCAACAGACGAAATGAACTTAAACAGGTTTGAAACAATAATAGGAAGAACAAATTATGACAGAATTAATTTTTTTTTGGTAAACTATCCCTTTAAAAAGACTTAAAATGGCTAGTTTACTCAAAACTGAAGAATCTCTCATGATATACTCCATTTGACACCATTGACCTCCATAGTATTTGTTTTCCTCTTATGAATGTCAACATATCTTCTTTGAATAGAAAAAGAATAAAGAAACTCATGAAGGTTTGGAATAACTTGAGGTTGAGTACATTTTCAATTTGGATCTCCCTTTAACTATCACTGTTGATCGATCTAGTTTGAGATAATGCTGAAAAAATCAATTTCTTAAAAAAACCCAAATCAAATTCTAGGGTGCTTTCACACCTAGATGCTTGTTTCGGAACCTGGCTTGTTTGCCCAGTTAGCATGGTTTGTTTAGCATATGTGAAACCCGCAATCGCGCTCTGATCCACGCCAAACCAATCGGTCAGAGATCACCTGAATGAGGTGGTCTAAGCTCGATTGAAACGAACTCTGGATCGGATCGATTGTAGCGAGAAAGCAATGTGATCTAATAAACCAACAAACTAGGCTATATCACAGTGTAATATGGTTGTGTAATAGCCATATATATGACTATATGAAGAGTGCATGATGAGTGGGGCTGTATGTTAATCCTACTGGTAAATGTACGTTTCATGTCGAATACGAAAGTGAAAGCATGCTGAACTATCACTAGTGCTGTTCATCTGATAGGAAAATTGACAGAAATTACCATCGGATAGTTTTTATTTTATTTTCATGATATTTTGTTTTAGGACTAGGCGACGCAGTGGTGCAGTAGGTAGTGCTGTCGCCTCACAGCAAGAAGGTCGCTGGTTCAACTGGGTCAGTTGGTGTTTCTGTGTGGAGTTTGCATGTTCTCCCTGCATTTGCCTAGGTTTCCTCCGAGTGCTCCGGTTTCCCCCACAGTCCAAAGACATGTAGTACAGGTGAACTGGCTAAGCTAAATTGTACATAGTGTATGTGTGTGAATGAGTGTGTATGGATGTTTCCCAGAGATGGGTTGCGGCTGGAAGGGCATCTGCTGTGTAAAATATATGCTGGATAAGTTGGCGGTTCATTCCGCTGTGGCGACCCCGGCTTAATAAAGAGACTAAGCCGAAAAAATAAATAAATGAATGAATGAATGTAGAAGGACTATTGTTCCACACTACTGATCAACATTGATCTGCATCATGGTCAGACTGTAGTCTCGCTTCATCTGATATTTTTCTCTATAATTTAAGCCTATAATGCAAAATTTAGCCAATGTTTCTGAATAGATTGATTGATACAATAGATAGATTTTTACAAAACTTGACAACTGAAATGAAGCTATGAAAGAGAAGGTCTTACATCTCTGATTTATATTTTGGTGACGATGTCTGTGGGTGTCAAAATAAAGTGTACATTTTTGCTTATAATGTTTTATTTCTCATCACCATAAATTAAAATAACAATGTATGACAGCTAAGCGGATTTAATGCAACTCTTCAAAATAAACCCTGGAACTGAATTGATCTACATGTGTGAAAGCACCCTTACTGAGCTCAAAATTTAAAACAGGGTATCACTTAAGTTTAAGTAACAATTTATATTATTTACTACTTATATTATTACTACTAAATATTATTTATATTATTACTTCTTATTATCTGCATATTATTAATATATTAACTGATTATTAGTACTTAAAATATAATTATATTTTAAATCCCTAATCCTACCCAATACCTAAACCCAACAAATAACTTACAAATTATTAAAAAGCAGCTATTTAGTAGTTTACTAGAGCTAAATGTTAATGGTTTGTTAATAGTCTTTATTGTACATTAAAATAAAGTGTGACCTAAAACAGTGGTATAACTAAGCATTATGTACATGCAATATTGCTTATTGCTAGTACTAATCAAAGTAATTGTAAGATGTTTTAAACCATATTGTTTTTTAATACATTAAGCATCAAAGGAAAGTTTGCGGCAGAAAAACAACCTGGTAAACGGCGGGTTTGTTTGTGAGTACACAATGTGACTTGACCCACCCTGTAGCTCTTTGTCTCCTTTCATCCATCTGATGGTTGCGGCGGGTTTGCTGCCCATGGAGGTGCAGGTTATCTCTGTCTCGTTGCCCTCGCTGACGATGTCCTCGCGGGACTCTATGATTGGGTTTCCTGGTGGGACTGAGAAAAGACAGACAGATTTTACAAGGCGCTCTGTAAATCAAGCACCACTACAGTCTCATTCAGCCCAGGGTGCAGTGATGGACTAACACAGAAGGATGAACACATCAGAGAAAATAAAGTAAAAGAGTGAACCGCGATGAAGTATGTACTCTGATGAGTAGACGATCGCTGGTGAAACATCTTATGCAACAGAAAGCAATACATCCAGTTGACTAGAACAAATCTGTTGAAACATTCAGCCCTGACTTGGATAATTGGAAATGTTCACAGGCATATCTTAACAAGGAAACATTATCGGTGAAAAGATTGGAATAATTAAGATAATTGGAACAAATAGGAAATAAGTGCTTTTTGTGTACTAAAAATGCATTTCATTTATCAGAATTACAATATAAACAACACAATTGCTAATTATCTTTGATCTTTACCACTGTCTCCAGTCTGACATATTACTTCAGAGAACAAACTTACACTAACCGGACACTTTATTAGATACACCTTACTGGTACAGGGTTGGAACCCTTTTTTTTGCCTTCAGAACTGCCTTAATTCTTCGTGGCATAGATTCAACAAAGTATTAGAAATATTCCTCTAAGCTTTTGGTCCATATTGACATGATAGCATCACACGGTTGCTGCAAATTTGTGGGCTGTACATACATGATGTGAATCTCTAATTTCACTACATCACAAAGGTGCTCTATTGGATTGAGATCTGGTGACTGTGGAGGTCATTTGAGTATTGTGACCTCATTGTCATGTTCAAGAAACCAGTCTGAGTTGATATGCGCTTAAGTATATGGCGCGTTATCTTGCTGGAAGTATCCATCAGAAAATGGATACACTGTGGTCATAAAAAGATGGACATGGTCAGTAATAATACTCAGGTAGGCTGTAGCGTTGACACGATGCTCAATTGGTACGAGTGGGCCCAAAGTGTGCCAAGAAAATATCCGCCACACCATTACACCACCACCACCAGCATGAAACTTTGATACAAGGCAGGAAATCCTACCATTTTACCATCCTACCAGCAGAAATCAAGGCTTATCAGACCAACATTTTTTCCAATCTTCTATTGGTTATTTTTGTTAAGCCTGTGCTAATTGTAGCCTCAGTTTCCTGTTCTTAGCTGACAGGAGTGGCACCCGGTGTGATCTTCTGCTGCTGTGCTGTGCGTTCAGAGATGCTCCTCTGTATACCTCGGTTGTAACGAGTGGTTATTTGTGTTACTGTTGCCTTTCAATCATCTTGAACTTGTCTGGCCATTCTCTTCTGACCTCTGGCATCAACAAGGCATTTGCGGCCACAGAACTGCCGCTCACTGGATATTTTCTCTTTTTCGAGTTTTCTTTAAACCCTAGAGATGGTTGTGCGTGAAAATCCCAGTAGATCAGCAGTTTCTGAAATACTCAGACCAGCCTGTCTGGCACCAACAACCATGCCATGTTCAAAGTCACTTAAACCACCTTTCTTTCACATTCTGATGCTCAGTTTGAACTGATCATTTAACCATGTCTACATGACTAAATGCATTGAGTTGCTGCTATGTGATTGGCTGATTAAAAAATTTGCGTTTATGAGCAGTTGGAGAGGTGTACCCAATGAAGTTGTCGGTGAATATATATAATGATTTGGAAGCCATAATAATCAATTATTAACATCAATGGTTGTATATTCAATGTTGAAAATATTTCCGCAATATGTTTTTTGAAACTGTTATTAGGATTGTTCACAATAACAAATGGTATGATCCAACATAGGTTTTACTTTAAAAAAACTAAAAGAAGCTATCCATATGTATCCATCCTTGCCTCCAGTTTGTTTCAATTTCTTTTCATCCTCTTGTATACTCAATCCTCTTGTGTTTAATACAATTTTTTTCTATTAATATTAAAATATGTTACTTCTCAGTTGAATTATATAAGAAAGTAATTCTATATTCTTTTAAATAATAGCATTTTACATTATTGCCGTTTGTAAAATTTTTGAATTTAGTAATATTTATTTCCAAGAGGCTCAACATCTAAAAAAACTAGTCAAAAACCTTTCCAACAATCTATTATAAATGTGCAGTGTTTTTACGGAGAGGATAATTCAAAGGTAGAGGTTTCTCATTCTCCCCGAGCAGCAGGGTTTCATTCAAGCATTATGTTCCATCTCGGGCGTCTGAAGCTCTGGAAACAGCCACTCGACGCCATTCAGTGCTTCCTCAATACCCACCCGCACTAAACTGTGCTCTTGAATAATCACTTTTAAGTGCAGCTGATTTTTCCATGCAGTTATGTCAAGACGCACAACGCATTGCATGTACCGAAGACACACATGCACAAACACATAAACAATAATTCCACTGAATGGGCCCAACATGCAGCTGAGTCCTCAAAGAAACTAGCAGGTGAAGTGTTTGTTGAGTTGTTAGAGAGCTTTTAGCAGCCCCTCCAAACCTCACTGACAGTATTTGTGTGTGTGCATCTGTGAGTGTCTGTGTGGTTTAGCAGACCCCTTCTAAAATATGAATGAGCCAGTGCTCAGGATCTGGCTTGGCTGTGTATCAGCCCTTCTGTTGGGTGAAGATGAATGGCTATATCTTGATTCTACACTGCTGCAGCATCTCATAAAAGCTGCTTCACTCTGGTGATTGATCATAAAAGGATTTCACAGGAAACAAAGAAGCCCTGCATGTGTTTGTTTGTGTCTGTAGGTGTTTGTTTAGGCACCGTGTGCCTTCTGGGAAATCAGATGGACAAAACAACAGTCTCAACCTTAGGTTTATGACCCCAACTAAAAGTGTGTTTGTGTTTGTGTGTGTGTATATATGTGTGTGTGTGTGTGTGTGTGTGTGTGTGTGTGTGTGTGTGTGTGTATGTATATATATATATATATATATATATATATATATATATATATATGTGTGTGTGTGTGTGTATATACATACACACACAGTTAAAGTCAGAATAGCCCCCCTGAATTATTAGGCCCGTAAATTTTTTCCCCAATTTGTGTTTAACGGAGAGAAGATTTTTTTAAGCAAATTTCTTAACAAAATAGTTTTAATAACTAATTTCTCATAACTTTAATAACAATTTTTTATGATGACTATCATAAATGATGACAGTACATGATGACAGTACATAATATTTTATTAGATTTTTTCAAGACACTTCTTAAAGTGACATTTAAAGGCTTATCTTTAAACTAAGGTTAACGTAACTTAGGCTAACTAGGCAGGTTAGGATAATTAATCATGTTATTGTATATAGATGGTTTGTTCTGTAGATTTCAGAAAAAAATATATAACTTAAAAGGGCTAATAATGTAAAAAAATGAAAAAGGGAACATTTCTTTGCTCTGTTAATTTTATTTGGAAAATATTTAAAAAAGGAAAAAAAATTCAAAGGGGGCTAATAATTCTGTATGAGTATATATATTACTTACACCATGAAGTAATGCATTACTGATAAAAGCAATTTTGATTTAATGTTTTTATTAATGCTCTTATAACATCACTTCAGTGCTGCATGGAGAATACACTGTTGAGCAACTTCAGTTTTATTTCATTTGCATTCTGACAACTAAAACATGAGACAAACTTAAATAAAAAAATAATTTTAAACACTAATTTATTTAAGTCAGACCAGCAGCACAGAAATGAATCAGCTGAAACCAGCCGAATGTTATAATCAGAAACAAATAAAGCAAAAACTAAAGTTACTGTCAAAAGAATTGTCATTTCAAGAATATAACGCATTATTGTCCAACGCTGGTTGAATCCTTTGAACTTTTAGCTGAATACTAGTGTCTTGAAAAATATCTAGTAAAATATTATGTACTGTAATTATTGCAAAAATAAAAGAATCAGTTATTAGAAAAAAGTTATTAAAACTGGTATGTTTAGACGTGTGGAAAAAGTCTTCTCTCCTTTAAACAGAGAATATACAGGGGGCTATTAATTGAGGAGGGCTAATAATTCTGACTTTATCTGTATACATCCAGTAGCACATCGTATTCATCCTCAGCTACTTTACACAAACCTGACTGGTTAATGAGTTAGTTAATAAGTATGGTTATTCATGATACATCATAACGGTTTTTTAAAAAAAAACATTTGTGTGGATCTAAACTGGGTCCAATGCAGTATGTCAAAACTACAGACGACAAAGAAAGTGTACATACAGTGTGTAGTGTAGATGTGAGCTCATACTTAGCACAGTGATGTCGGCGTAGGCTTCCTGTGGAGGGTCTGTGTAGAGCTGGCACACGTATCTGCCCTCGTCTGACAGAGACACGTTGGATAACGATACACGAAGCTCGTTGTCTGAGAAATTGACCAGCTGGAATCGAGCATCTTTCAGGGCTGCGGAGTCAATAGAGAAAGAGAGCAGATGATAGAATGAAAAGTCACATCTTCACACTCCACTTCCATTTTAAGCAACAATAGAAACATGTAGGAGATAATTAGCAGTATTTTTTTTCCATTTGAAGGCTAGATTGTGTTTTCGCTGAGAAAAGAAAATCAGCCATATGCTCCTTTTAAGCCATTGCTTATATACAACACCAGGGGAGTCAAGCAAATAGGGAAGGTACAATATATTCTTCAGATTAGTTGAAAGCTGCTCCATGGGAGTATGTGAAGTGATTGAGATTGCTTTAAACTCAGAAGCACCAGTGCATCTATTTCTGGCATCATCTGACCTGAGCTTTATATCACTGGGGTTTGAAACAGGGACAGTGGCCATGGGACATGCCATGCTGGACCACTCTGACACCCAAGTGCAGTTTCATTTTAACACCTAGCAGAAAAAAAACCTTCTAGCTTTGTGGTGAGCAGATATCATACATGGGTGCTTTATGGCCACTTTTGGCTCTCTGGAGTTTTAGAGACTATAAACAAATAGAAATCCAAATGTTATTATCCATGATGTTAGTACCCCTGAAATACTATTTAGCTTGCATCAATAATTATTTTATTTTAATGTAGATTAGATAGGATATCATTGAGGTTAAGGATTTATGTTTTATATCTTTTGTTTATTAGAGTAGATTAGAGGGGGTTTGTTGTGAATATTAGTTAGGTTTTGTTTGATTATTTTCTTTTCACACATAGCCAGTCTTTCTAACATTTCATAGTTTATTGTCTCTGATATTATATATACTTTATATATTCCATTCAATGATTCACTATCACTTTTTGCAAATAAATCACTATCATTTGTTCACTAATTCTTGTTGTCCATGCTTACTTTGTAGCACAATTTACTTAAGTTTTTGCGCAACCAAATACTGTGAAACTGCACTCCCCTAGACTGCCAGGGATTGTAACATTGTAACTGATTCATCAAATTCACTCTCATCTGGAACATCACTAGTGATTGTAAAATACTCCAACTAAATGATCGTAAACCATTTTTAAAAAAAAATAATTTTCTTTAGAAATTGGCGACTTACCAAAATTAGAAAAAACAAAGCAATTTCAAAAAGATCATCTTTGCATAATTTATCAAATTGTTCTACTGTAGGATTACTAAGCAACTAGCTAACTAACTAACTAACTACAAGCTATAGACAACCCTTAATCAAACTCACTCTTTTACTTCAGTAAACTAACAAGCTTACTTTGTTTCACAACGAGTTTGAATTTCAGGGAAAACCAAAATCCTCAGAAACCAATATCGGGAACGTTAGACAAGCCCCTCAAAAAACTTGTACAAGTAGTACAAGTTTTAGTACTATTTTATTATTTATATTTTGTTTAGTAATTATTTTAGTATATGTATGAGTGTGCGTGTATAATTGGGAATATTTTATATATACATTTATAATTTATTTTAGTTCAACTTAATTCATAAAGTTACATATACACTGGAACGGGCCATTGGGAGCACTGGGAGAAATCCCAATAGCCTGGCAACTGATTTGACTTGCTCCATACAGTTCCTCAGCCAATTATAGTACATTTACCAAATGATAGGCTGGATGAGTGTGGAGTTTTGTTCCAGTCTACCACTACAGTATTCAGTGTGTCCAAGATTACCCCTGTACAGCATGCTGTACTAAATGATGTCTATTTTATTACAAACGCCATGATGAAAATTGTATTTAGTAACATATAGGTAAACATTTTAGGTAATGTATTCCGGCTATATTTTGGATTACTTTTAGAATACTTTTTGATCCAACTTGTTTATCACATCGATTTCACATTGATTGTTTTCATATTAACAGAGAAGGGTCTGGCTGCAAACGTAAGTATCTAAAACACGAGAATGAAAATACATTGTATTCCTTGTTGCAATGACAAGTGTAATATTAATATTTAATAATATTATATTTCATCAGGGTTTCCCAAACTGTGGATTTGCGAAAAATCTGCAGGGAGCTGGGTAGGCCTTGAGAAAATCCTAATTGAGTGGCATTAAATGGTTGATTGGAAAAAGCAATAGGGCATCAGAGATCTGACTGTGACAAAATAATACTGCGTTTTCCCACACCATTTAAAAAGGTCTAGAAGTTTAACCCCTGCAAACTAGATCTTAAGTATGGTTGTTGAGTAATGACAATGAGTAAAGACCAATCAGGAACAGTTTTAGAGAAGGAGGATTGAATTGAATTGGAATCAAAGGCTTAAATTGACAACTAGTGCATGTCAAGTGTATATAACATTTGTGTGTCTCATTTAATTGGATGAACCAGCTTTTAAAGTGGGCTATTGTCACCCTGGCCTGTGTTTAGCATCGGTACTACACACAAGCCCTTTAAAAATAGGCTAAATAAATGCAGGCATGGTATAACGTTCCAATATGATTTCATATATGCTGAATAATGCTTACTTGATAAAGCTAAAAAACACCTGTGCGCTTGTATCCAACACACCAGTCACTTCCATGCTTAAAAGCTGATCAAGCTCACTTGAGAATCTCATGTCGATCCTAACTTACGGTTCCCTCTCCTAATTACGCAGAGGAACGGAATCCTTTCGGCCCAGAATAATGAGGAGTCCATTAGGGCTCGCTTTGCCGGTGTGTGAGGCTGAGCGTGAAAAGTAAATGGTGCTGAGTGTAAAAGAGAGAAAGAGAGGGAGAGATTGGCGAAAGAGAGACATGGTCGAAAGAGAGAGATGAAAGCCTGCCGTCTCCCCCATCCCCATCCGCCCCCCACTCGCAGATAAATTCCAGGCCGATCGACAGACCATTTACGACACCGAGAGCACTCGCACACGTTTGTTCTTGCCCGCAACAGCAGAGTTCAAAGCCGCGTGCAAAAAAAAAAAAAAAGAGAGCACCATGAATAAATAAATAAAGAAATAAATAAAAGGGGAAATAAATAAAGAAATAATCGGGCATCATTAGAGATTTTTGAGGCGATGGGATCATGAAAGCAGGCCCTGATGGTGCGGGGTGTTGATTGTTCTTGGATCCAGCTGGTTAGCCATGCTCTTTCGCTTTCATTCAAAAGAAAAAGATAGACAGAGACAGCGAGCGAGAGAGAGAGAGTGAGAGAGAAAAAAACATGCCGCTCTACAAGGGCTGTAGACTCTCTGTGAGTCACAAAAGGAAAAAGATCTTCACCGTTCTCTATTTCTTCTACGTGCAAGCCCACTGCGAGAGCGTGCCGCTGCCATCCGCGTGGGAGATGCAAAGTCCATTTCTCTCCCAGATCAGCGCACTCGCACGTGGAAGACCCTGCTGCCAAGGCAAAACATTTCTCACCTTTGATCATGATGTCAGGGCGGCGTAAGCTCAGAGCGAAAATACAAATAAATAAAACATCACGCGCGTGTAGCTTTCACATCTATATTCCGCTGAACCCAAGTGTGTGTGTGGTGTTTATTCAGGTACAAGTCTGAGCTTGGGAGCGATACAGCCACACGCTTCGAAAAAAAAAAGAGAAGAGAAACAAACGGACCAACAGCAGCGCTGTGATCTCCAGCTGCCATTGTGGTGGTCTTTGTTTTGAAACGGCAAGCAGCGCTGCTTTCATGTAGCGGCCGCGTAATGTGCCACTAATTAGAGCGGCCAGCTTGAAAGCGGGAATGTGGCTGTCAAGGGGAGGGCAGGCAGAAGCTAATGATTTAATTCAATTTATTGATTGGGGAAATGCGAGGATTAAAATGAACTGATAAGGAGCAAGAAGGCAAACGGGTTTATAATCTATTGTGACTGTGCGTCAGGTGGAGAGACAGCAATAATTAGAGCATTATGAAAACATGAATAAGCGTGGTGTCAGCTCTAATGGGGAAAAGAGAGGGCAAGGAACTGGGGAGCCCATATCGGTGAGGCAAATAAAAGCTTCGAAGTAAAGAAAGAACTTTCGATATTCAGAGAAGAACTGAGAAAGGTCATGCATGTACTGAGCATGTACTGAATTTTTGAAGCACTGCTTGCAACCTCCCTGACCCTACCGCTCATGACCTTTGAGCTGTTGGTGGGGAAAATGAAAAGCAAGAGTGTCCATGTCAAAGAGAAGCAAAAATATACTTAAAAATCGAATAATTAAAAAAAAAAAAAAAAAAAAAAAAAACCTATCCAGAATATGTTTTGCCCATCCAGCTGCAATCCAGTACTGGGAAACACCCATAGACTCTCCTTCACAATCATACACTGCGGACAATTTTGTTTCTTCAATTAATCTATATTGCTTGTCTTTGGACTGTGAGGGTAACCGAAGCACCCAAAGGAAACACAGGGTGAACATGCAAACTTCAGACAGAAAAGCCAACTGGCAAAGCCAGGACTTGAACAAGCAACCTTCTTGCTGTGAGGCAACAGTGCTAACCACTGAATAATGGATTATAAATTATTGATATTACTGATGTTATTTTATTTAGTTTTACTTAAATACAGTTTTCAAAGTATTTTTTAAAATACAAAGAATCAGACATTTACACTATTAAACAATTTGAAGTATCATACCAGTTGGCAACTACATCATACTCAAAATATATACATTTGTTACTTAATTAATATTTTCAAATATTTAAAAAAATCTTACTAATTTGTTGAAGAGTCACTTTCCTTGTCAAAAAAGATCAAATGATACTGATATTGATATTTTCCTGATATTTCTGTTACATGCCCAGTACATATATTACCCTAATTAATATTTTTTTTCACAGTGATTTAAAATAAAATATAACAATAAGTTATAAATGAATAAACAATGACTATATTTTTTAACTGTCACATGATGACGTTTTCAACATAAACCAAATTTGTCTTGTCATAAAAATGTAAACCCAAAGCATCCAAAAGGGACTTTAAGAAATGAAATGACATGTGGTAGAAGGAGAAATCTGTTATATGAGAGGAAAATAAAGTTGCAGTTTTTTAAGGTAAACTGCACTTTTTATCCATTCCC